ATCAACTCCACCAAGGTACAGGGACGCGAACGAAGCTCGTATCGTTCTTCCACCATCTTGAGCACTAGACTTCACACTTCTTATGAAGACTCTCATGAATAAGTCATCATCAACTTTGTCCGCAATGTATTGCCACCTGTGGACAAGATTGGTTGCATTTTGTTCCAAGGTCCGGCTGACAGTGCAGACTGTCACAGTGGATGGAACAGTCACCAACTTTATCTTCCATGCAAGAATGACTCCAAAACTAGCACCCCCACCGCCTCTGATGGCCCAAAAGAGGTCTTCCCCCATGGATTCTCTATCAAGAATTCTACCATGAACATCTATTATTAGAGCATCAATGACATTATCTGCAGCAAGGCCGTGTTTACGAGACAACGTGCTATCCCCTCCCCCACTGATGTGTCCACCAACACCAACCCAGGGGCAAACACCTGCCGGAAAAGCAAGAGTTCTGCTCTTCTGAGCAATGCTGTGGTAGACTTCACCTAGGGTTGCACCGGCTTGAACCCATGCGGTGCTGCTTTCAGTGTCAATTGTGATTTTTCGAAGGTTTATGAGATCAACCAGAAAAAATGGGACTTCGGAGACATGAGAAAGGCCCTCGTAGTCATGTCCTCCGCTTCGGACTCTCATCTGTATGCCATGTTTTTTTGAACAATAGATGGCTGTTTGAATGTGAGACTCATGCAAAGGTGTGACAATCACCACTGGTTTTGGGGTACTTGGTGATATGAATCTTAGGTTAGGTATGGAGAAATCTAATATGGATAGATAGGAAGAGTTGTTTGGGGTGTGAATGAGTTTGGAGATTGATGTGGAGTTATGAGAATGAAGTGAAAGGCATTGAAGAAAATCTTCCTGGGTATGAGCAGAAACTACCCATGAAATTGAGAAAACAATACAAACAAGCGAAAACAACGAAGCTCTTGGTCGCTTCATCATCACTTCTCTGATGATATACATTTTGTGTAAAGAAGAATTATTAATTGGTCTGCTATTTATAGCCCTCGGGCAAACAATAGATTTTAATCATTTGATTTTTTTATTTCTTTTAGTATTATTACTCCTTCCCATCCCAAAAATCTTGGGTGTTTTGGATAGTCCAACTTTTTAATGATGTTTAGGTTTGAATATATAGTTTTTATTTCAAAATTAGTGCACTTGTTTAATAAATTAAATGTCAAAAGGGTAATTTAGGAATGGTATAAAAGTAGTATATTCATTTTAGAAATAGTCTTAAAAAAAATTAAAAAAAAATGGACTAGTATTTTGAGACAAAGAGGGTATTTAATTAAGTATTCCAAATTTCAAGTTAAGATAATTATTCAAGTTTCAAGGTTATTCAGGCAGGGTGATTCCTAGATTATTGAAATGAAGAAATTAAGGATTAACCACATCTTGTTCAACCTATTAAAAACTTATTCTATTTTTAATGATTTTGTGTATAAGGAAGAGAATTGATCTTCTATTCAATATATTTTAATCATGTGATGATTTTTTTTTTTTTTTTTTTTTTTTTGGGTACATAATTTAACATGTGACCACTTCTTTGTTGATTTTGTGTATGAGGAGAATTGGTCTGGCATTTACGGCCGTCAGTCAACAATAGATTTTAATCATGTGATATATCTAGTTTTTATTTATTTATTTATTTATTATTATTATTATTATTTGGTTATGTATTCCAATTTGTTATTGTACTATTAGGATGAAGAAATTAAGGATTAACACCCTTTCTTTAACTCATTATTCATGTCCAATTCAACATATGAAATGTTAATCTCAAGAAATTTTAAAAGCTTAATGTGAATTTTTTAAAAATTACAAAAAAAATCTTAGAAAATTATTTATCAAAGTGTTAACATAAAATAAATTAATATTTAAAAAAGGAAAGTTGAAAAGAAAAGGTAAATATAATTTGAATATTACATATAATAACATTTAAAATAAAATATATGAATATAAATAATATTAAAATTGGGGGTTGGGCTCGGATTGTAGGCACCTCAACCTAAGTCCAATCTTTATTTTTGGGTTGAACTCAAAAATAGTTTGCCAAGCGAAAAATGTAATTGGGTTCGGGTATTTGCTCACTCATGCTGTACCAGTATACTTGAGAATATAAAGTACATTTTAGATCACATGAAACCTAAATTATGTATCTTTTTAACTAATTAATACTGTTCAATATCATGTGATCCCAAATTGAAACCACGCAACTTCTTTAGGGATTAAAATGAGCAGGTAAGTACACATATTGGTTTTTGATTCACATCCTTCACATCTCAAAATATATAATAATAAAACTGTTTGGAGAGAATGAAGTCGGATTAAGATAAGGATAACGATGATCATAGTTAAGGGTGGCAATTCGTGTTCGCGGGTCATAATCGTGTCGTGTCGATTTAAGGGTATTTTATTAAACAGCTCAACTGGAACACGACCTGTTTTATAATCATGTCTGGAATCCTCAACACTAACCCGACCTGTTTTATTAAACGGGTTACACATATAACCCATTTAATAACTTGTTTTATAAAATTAAATATTCTATTATTTAAATTATTAATAATACTCTATCAAATATTAAATATTAGAAAAATATAAGTTTCAATCCAACCAATTTACTAAATAATCTCTAATTTACAAAAAAATAAATTATAAGATATAAGTTTAGATAGTTATTTTGGAATTTAAATAGAAATTTGTTTATGACACGTATAGTTAAACGGGTTGTACGAGTTGAACCTCTCAAAGTCAATCAAATCCGTTTAACTCTGGTGTTTTAATTATATTGACAGGTGGTGTCACGATGTTTTAAAAACAAGTTCATTGTATAGTAGACTACACGTAAGCTGCAGGCCATAGAAATTTCTCTCCCGTCATCTTTCTGGTCCAATTAGGCAGCCTATACGTAAGCTGCAGGCCATAGAAATTTCTCTCGCAGACTATACGTAAGCTGCAGGCCATAGAAATTTCTCTCCCGTTAACATCTTTGTGGTCCAATTAGGCGGCTTGAAAAGCCATCAGTGATTAGAGACATTTTCTTTTTGGCAAGGTAAGAGCATACGTAAGTTGAACAGTGTGTTGTTCATTATTATAATTTATCCATTCTTAAACACGAGTTGAAGTAAATGAGGAGAAAAAATGGTCTGAATTTTAACGTACTATCAGATAATGCCAGAGGATCTTTTAATCCTTATAGTCTTAGCTTTGAAGTTTTTTCACCAATTATTTTCTTAAATCCATGAGCGAAAAAGGTGATATTTGGACAAGAAAATTGAACCCATTATTACCTAGCTAATATAGTTGACATTTCTCAACAATAATTCATCAATTTCCTAGACATTGTTAAGACTTTCTAACAGCGCATATTTTCTTCCCACTTATATATACATCGATGTTTAATTTTACTGTTCCATTGCTTAACATTCCAGATTTATTCCCCAACAATTTATTTTCTTTTTTCTTTTGATAATTTTAAGAACATCGTCCTACCCCAAAACAAGAGAAGAAGTGGGTTTTGTGCGCTTGCTGAAAACATGGAACCTGGTACTTGCACCACCTGAGGTCATATGATGCTGAATTTTAAATCCATGGTTTTGTATACAATCCAAGCAAAATTCAGCCTTCAAATTGTTTATTATGGCAAAACTCTAAAATAATCAAAACTGATTCACTCGAAATTAGGGTTATATTTACGGAACGTATTAAACACTGTGTGTTGGCACAATAAATTCACACTCTTATTTAATGGGCAATAGCTCAGTTGGTACAACCCCACCTTTCTCAAAGAGAAGATCAGGAATTCAAATCTCGATAGAGGTATGAAATATGAAAATCTCACACTTTTGCGTTGAATATCAAAATTGAAATATGATTAACATTTGCCCATTTATGTTTTTATTTGTTGTTCTTCATTCTTTCAAGTTGAAAAATTGCCCGCAGTGTTGGTGCTTGGCCACTAGAAAAGCACCTGCTGAAGTTACATAAACTGGGACGTAAAAGATTTTCAATTTATTCATTAAAAGTGTTTCAATTTATTTCCTTGTTATGCTTTTTTAAGATTTCAATTGTAATACACATAAAAGGATGTGCTTGTTTAAGTGATATATGAATTACCTTTGCAATGCTAAATAAATTCAAACTGAAAAAATAACAGAGTATGAATGAATTAAAAATTAAAATTTTCTCGAGAAAAATGTGATTTGCACATTTGTTAGTCTTTTATAAAAAATAAAAAATAAAAAAAGATTTGGGTTAAGGTTACTGGGCTAAATTCGGACTGGACCAACCCAACCTAAATTCTGGTTGAGGTCGGGTTGAAACCGGACCTGGGTAGGGCCTGCCCAAGTTGCACCCCTGCCTAACCCATAAAGTAAAGAAGATAAAAACTTTTATGGGCAAGTAAAAAGCGTGTAGAGTTCTTTTCCGCATGGACTGCAAAAACAAAATGAGTTTTGGGTCCAAATTCGGGGAGTAAAGTGTTCCATGAGCTTAACGGCTTTAAGCTGGAGCCAAGAAAAATTTGTGGGTTGGGCTACAACTGGGAAGTTAGGCCGACTCCGTGGTTGGGCTAGGTTTAGGGTTATACCACCAGCCCAATTCCATGTAATGTGTCCTCTCTCTCTATTCTGGTAGAAACAATTGCTTTCCTTTGCTGACCATTTCACCCTAACAAAAATATATATATATAATAATAAATAAATTATTATTTTTATTTTATAAAAACGGTGGAACTCCTCCAAGACAGACCCAGTCTTAGCGGATAAACCACGGGGGCACTCGCGCAACCCCAACACTAACCCCCGGTGAGTCACAGGCAATCTAAGAAGAGTGCTGCATGCCCCTTCAATCTGACAATCAAATACTAGATTTTTTGTTTGATAGTTCAAGATCGCCATTGCCACTGTTAATGGTGAGATATGCTTGTGCATTACTGCCTACTGAGTCTAACACATGCCCGGCCAATGCAGCAGACCATAACATACAACTACACAAAAACATACTGTAACTTTATTGGGTAATTAAAACAGACTATAACATATAACAATAAAAAACGTATACTTTTTTTGGCCCCAGTAATTACTTGAACATACACCCTTTTTTTCCCTGGAACCCTTATTTATGCCAATACAATATATAAAATATATTTGTTGCAAACCTTTTTGTAGACCAAGGGAATATTGATCTATCTCTTCTTACCCCATGGTGGAAAGCTTTGTTCATTCCTGAAGAAATTAGCAGGATCGACCATTGTCTTCACATGCACCAATCTCTTGAAGTTACTTTTGAAATACTTAAGACCCCAAATACTTGCTTGTGTGTAGCTTGTGTTGCCTTTAACATTGTTTACTCCCAAGTCGAGATCCCTATAGTTGAGATATGCAGCTCTTGGAGACTTGGTAACATAGGGAGTCATGTACCTGTAAAGACTTCTGATCCAACTTATATGCCTTTCCAATGCCTCTGACCCCTTTTCAACCCAAGACACTCCATAATGAATGTTGTATATAGTCCCAGCTCTGTGAGGGAAAGGTGTTTCGGATTCCGATATCTCACTCAACCTTCCTCCATAAGGACTCAACAACATCTCAGCCCCATTCTCATCTTCTTCATTATACCTCTCCCATATGCCTTCTAGTCCATTCTCTGAAATGGGCTCCTTCGCAAAATCTGACTTCCCTTTGAAATAGGATTCCCCGCCACCAAAACTAGCACTCCTATTCAACAAAACATCAATGGAGTCTTCTCTAGAGTAGCCTGCAAAATAGAGAATCGTTTCAATCCAGCTCATTTCAAAACCATCTTCTTTCACCATACCCAATTCAGGGAAGCTTTTCTGCATCAATGGAAGGAGTGTATCAACTCCACCAAGATACAAGGAAACGAATGAAGCTTGTATCGTTCGTCCACCATCTTGAGTACTAGAATTCACACTTCTTATGAAGACCCTCATGAGTAGGTTGTCATCAAATTTGTCTGCAATGTATTGCCACCTGTGGACAAGCTTGGTTGCATTTTGTTCCAATGACCTGCTGACATTGAAGACAGTCACGGTTGATGGAACAGTAACCAAATTTACCTTCCATGCAAGAATGACTCCAAAACTAGCACCACCACCTCCTCTGATTGCCCAAAAGAGGTCTTCCCCCATGGATTTTCTATCAAGAAATTTACCATTAACGTCGATTACATGAGCATCGATGACATGGTCAGCAGCAAGGCCGTGTTTACGCGACAGCATGCTATACCCTCCCCCACTTATGTGTCCACCAACACCAACCGTGGGGCAAACACCGGCCGGAAAGGCAAGAGTTCTACTCTTTTGAGCAATGCTGTGGTAAACTTCACCTAGGGTTGCGCCGGCTTGAATCCATGCAGTGCTACTTTCAATGTCAATAGTGATTTTTCGAAGGTTTATGAGATCAACTATGACAAATGGGACTTCAGAGAGAGAGAGAGACGAGAGGCCCTCATAGTCATGTCCTCCGCTTCGGACTCTTATTTGCATGCCATGTTTTTTGGAGCAATATATGGTTGTCTGAATGTGGGACTCATCCAAAGGTGTGACAATGACTAGAGGTTTGGGAATATTTGGTGATATGAACCTTAGGTTTTGTATGGAAAAATCCAATATGGATAGATAGGAAGAGTTGTTTGGGGTGTAAATGACTTTGGAGATTGATGTGGAGTTATGAGAATGAAGGGAAAGGCATTGAATAAAATCTTCATGGGAATGAGCAGAAACTACCCATGAAATTGATAAAACAACATAAACAAGTGAAAACGTCTTCATGATCATTTCTTTGATGATTTTGTGAATAAGAAGGATAGTTGATCTGCTATTTATAGCCCTCAGGCTGGGTAGATTGTTTGAAAATGAGTTTGAACAATAGATTTAATGATGTGATAAATGTATTTTTTTTTTATTATTATTATTTGTCGGTAACTTAAAGGTGATTATTCAAGGTACGTTTTCTAGTTTGAAATCCCTCTACAAGAAATGAAGAAAAAAGAGAGTTCAAATGAAGAAAATTAGGAAGATTCATATCTTCTTCATTCCATCATAAAACTGTTTATAACTTCTGTTTTCACACCAAAGTGTTGGAAATAAAAACATGTAAACACTTTTGAGATTATAAAGTACATTTTAGTTACATGAACCTAAATTATGTACTTTAATTTAATGAGTACCATGGTCTGTATCATATGGAATTTGATTAAAATGAGAATTAACGGGCGTAAGTGCATACATACTGGTTATTGATTCACATGATTAATTCACATCTCAAAAGCAATTAAGTTCATTACATTGCGTGGGTCACATCATTAGACAATAATTAGGCTATAGACCATAAAAATTTCTCTCCCATTAACGTTTACGTGATCCAATTTAGCTAGGTTGCTTGAAAAGAAATTAGTGACACCCTTTTGAGACATGGTAATGTCTAAGGATCTTATTGGTTAATTTCCAATAGTTTATTGTGAAAATTTTCTGCTTTGGATTGTACACGTCAGTTGAACATTGTTTTCGAGTAACCTTCAAAATCAAATTTTGAAGCATATATAGGTACGTAGTCGATAGATGGTATGTTTGTGTAAGTAGTATATTTTCATGAAGATGTTCTCAATGATCTGAAATATAATTAGCAGACAATAGTGAATGTTCTTCGTAGCTAAACTCTTTGAATTTTCTCCACAAGAAGCTAGAGGTCGACTTTTAGTTGTCAATGGTCATAGCTATATATTGGCATTTCAATATTTCATGTCATTGTAAACAATTTCTCATCAATCAGATCAGTAAATGATATTATTCTCCTCTTGGTTATCCATCCAACTTTTCCAAGTTGCTGCTTGCAAGAAACCTATATATGTAAATAAATTTAAAATTAAAAAAACTCAATTACTACTGATCATTGGTTTGGAGGTATAATTATATATGTCCCCCTCAACTCTGAATTAATTTGTTACTATTGTTGTACACAAAATCCAAGCAAAAGTGAATCTCCAAATTGGTGTTATTTAGATTGCATAGAATTGACTGCCGAAACCTATATATATTTGGCCCCTTTGGAAATAAGTCAAGAGGACATGTAGACACATTTTTTATTTTTTATTTTATCAAGACAATTTCGAGGAGTCCATTTTCACCCGAAAATACTTATTATCATTTGGAAACAGCTTTGCTCGCAACACATGGTGTTTTTCTGCCGAATTCCATTGTTTGGGGCCTGAAATCGTGTTTTTATGCCATGAAACAAAAGATTGTCATATATTTAAAGGACTTGACTACATTGCAGCTTCTTACCGTGTTTGTTAGACTAGTCTCTGCTGTCATTATTGTTCTTGTTTTTCATCTCTAATCCTTCTTTGCAACATGCACATGTCATTGTGAAGCTACCATCTTTAGTAAAGCTTCATACCTTCTTTTTCCTTTCCACCAATAAAGATAAATGGAATTTGCAGATCAAATCTACATCTTTAGGCCTGCGGACATAGTCCGAACTTTATTCAATCCGTGAGGAGTGCCTTGCAACAACACTGCGGGCAAAATCCCGAACACCCTGGTTATTGAAAAAAAACTACATCTCTATCAACAAAATACAGTTTGTTACTTCGTCTATCCAGATCCTTATTCAGACCTGTACTATCTTTGGATCCTGAGATCAGTACCCGGGGTGAATTGAACCAGGGATCCAGGCATCCCCAATTCATGCCATTTTCACATCATTGTCAACCAGATTTAAAGAATTTTCATCTTGAGGAAACAAATTTTCCTTGAGATTATATGCATTAGTCCTGCCAGATATTAGGGGTGGGACTATATATGGTGGGTTGGGACTGGTTGAGTAGTCTTTGGAGTGGAGCTCAAGAATCTGCAAATTTATTTAGTTTCGCATCTTTTATCTCTTTGGCAAATATGGAAATAAGAGCAGGAATCACGAGCTGTTTAATGGTGTTTCATGTGATCCAGTAGCTATAATGGAGAGAGCAGCTTTTTATTTCCATAAGTTTCATGAAGCTATCAAGTCTGATTCTTTTTTGAGTGGTACGGTGTCTCTGTTTCTCAGTTATAGAAATTGTCTTAAATGTTGATGCTTCGTTTGGTGGGGATGCAAATATTTGTGGTGGAGATATGGCTCGGGGGTGGTAATTTAAGCTTAAACATAGTTGATATTCATCTATTAAAATTAAATTATTTGGGTACTTAAATTTAAGTGAGTAGGTTAATAATGAGTAAAAAGTGACCCGACATTCATTCGATTCAAAAATTAATAATGAATTAAGAGTAATATCCATTTTAATCCATTCAAATAAAATTCTCGATCTTTTTTCTTTACAATCATTATAATTTTCAACTTGCAAAAATAAAAAATAAATAAAAAAAAAGGAGAGCTGTTAGAGAGAGAATTGGACTTGTAGAGAGAGAAATTTAAAAGAGAAAAGTCAACTGGATTGTTTTTATTACTATTATTATTATTTTTTTTTGCAGGGAGTCAAAAAGGATATGCCATTTAGTTGATAATGTGTGAAGTTTTGTAAAATTTTATTCATTTTTTCTTTGATCCATACCTTAAATTACATTGTGGGTAGGAACCACCTATTATTTTCTCTCTACCTGCTTCTCTCTCCTCGTTTTTATTTTTTCATAAAAATATAAAAATAAATCACCACCAACTAATTAAAATTTCCATATGTTACCAGTCAAAACTCCTTTATATAATATATATATATATATATATATATATATATATATATATACACAGGTCATGTATGTTTTAAGAATGAGTAACAGTTCAAAGAAAAGAATGGAAATAGGGGTAGCAATGTGTTGGTGTTAGAATCGTGTGGTGTAGATTTAAAAGTATTAGTTCAATTAAAATATGATCGTTTAATAATCGTGTCAGAAACTTTCAATACTAACCCGACCTATTTATTAAACGAGTTACATGTTTAATAACTTATAAAAAAAAAATTTAATTATTTAAATTATTAATAATACTCAATAAAATAATAAATATTAAAAAAATATAAATTTTAATCAATATAATAATTTTGAAACTTAAATAAAAATTTATTTAAAATACATATAATTAAAAAAAAGTATATAAACGAGTTAGGTTGAACTTTTTAACTCAAATATCATATGATTATCTAAACAAATTAAGAAAAATAATATTGGGGCCTATTATTTTGACAAATTTGTTAGGTAGAAACACGTGGCTGTCCAGTTGTCAACGTCGCTTAATTTCTCTCTCCTCTCTCTTCTCTCTCTCTATCTAACAAACCCATTTTTTCCTCATCGGTTGGGTCTGTGAGATCGGCGGGACAAGGTTGCTGCACAGAGTCTGAGGAGGCCCAGGATGACATAGGCTGGATATGACTTGCAAACACGACATCCGGTCCGTATAGCTGGGTCGGCCCATAAAAAGACACTGCCATATGGGCCGAACGCGAATAAGCCCATCAAAGGTGACCAGGACGTATGGAGGAACAGGCCCAAATCCAGCAATCCGTCAATATTTGTAAATATCTATAAATAGGAGAAGGGATGGAAAGAAGAGAGGAAGGAAGATCTTTTTGTTGAAATGTAAGAATTCTAGAGAGAGAAAGAGAGTATGAATATCTTGCATCTTCAATTGGCGCCGTCTGTGGGAAAGCGTTGAAGATTGATTGATCAACTGATCAATATCGTGTGGATTCAGACCAATTCGTGAAAATGAAACTCAATCTTTGGGAGTTGAATCCAGATCTGAGCGATTGTGACCTACTCTAGAAGAATCTTAGTTCCTGCTGCTTTGGCGGAAGTGGCTTCGGAACAACGCAACAACGAGTTGCTCGATTGTGGCAGGATCTGACAGATTTAGAATTCGGACAATTCAGATCTCGTCAACCGTAAGCATAATTCGAAGAATTCGAAACCAGATCTGAAAAATTCGCACTCACGAAGCTCAGATCTACTCACGAATCTGAGATTAATGCCTTTACTCCGTTCAGGAATAATGATAGGTGAAAGCTCCAATCCGATGGAGGCTATCCAGCAAACGAAGCTTGAGGAGTTGATGAACTTGATCAAAGCTCTCAAAAAAGAGAATGCAGAATTGAAAGCTGGAATGCAACATTAGCAAATACCTGCGGTTTCGCATCCACTTCCGGTCGGTGAAGGAGGTGTTCAATCTAATACCGCGCATCAGGGCGAGCAGGACGAGAACAATCAGTCAGCTCATCACCGTGATGAAAGGATGATGGACAATTTGCCGCCAAATGTTCGTCGAGTTGAGGATCACGAAGGATCGACTCACGTTGATCCGCGACATGAGCAGATCAGACAGAATGAAGCCATGACCTTAGATCCACATCAGGAAAGGTTCAACCAAGAGGAGGTGACAGAGGTTGATCGCCGCCGAGTTGCGTCGCCTTGGCAAAGAGAGCTCATGGAGGAACGGTCGTTTGATCCGTCCTACCGGTCTTCCATGGCTACAATCACTCATCGCGGTTCGGAGAGCAGAACCGTAGCCCACAGAGCTACCACTGGCCGCCAAAGAGAGAATGAAGCGCTCCGATCCGCAGCTCGAACGGTTGATTCACCATTCACTGACGAGATCCTGAATGCCCCTCATCCAAGGAAGTTTGCTATGCCAGTGTTTATTCTGTTTGACGGAACAACCGATCCGATCGATCATGTGTACCATATCCAGTTGAAGATGGCCCTGAATACGGAAAACGATGCTTTAATGTGCAAATGTTTCCCTATAAGCCTAGCTGGACCGGCGCTCAGCTGGTTCAAGAACTTGCCTAAGAGCTCCATTG